CCACCTCGCAACTCCCTCCCCACCTCGGTCACAACCAACAGAGAGGGGGGTTTCTCTCCGTCCTCCGGGGGGGGGGTGGGGAGGGAGGGAGGCTCCTGCAGGCTCCCGCCTCTCTTGCCCTCCGCTCTTTCCCCAAAGTCACGTCTGGGCTCCTAGCCCCTTTCTTTCCCCCTCCCCTCGCGGCAGTGAGGGTCACTTCTCTCGCTTCGCATCCAGGGATCGCATCCAACAGCAGCAGGGAGACCCCAGAAGAGCCCACGGACGCTTCCAGCCCCAGAGGCGCAATCGGTGGGTCTGGAGTGGGGAAGGTTTTTATCGGGCTTTAGAACTGGAAGCGCCCTGAGGAAGTGGAAGAACCAATGAGAATTCTCCCTTCTGCAGCGTCACCAGTCTCCGGCCGGAGTCCTTTGTGACTTCACTACCTGGAGGAGAAAGTTCAGCGCGGAGAGAGAAGCGAAGAAAGCGGGAGAGGGATCCGTTCAGTCTTGGGGTGGGGGACAGCAGCTCAAGGGGGTCTTTCAGGCCAGCGAAAATCATTATTAAAACCTCCGCATTCTTATCGCTTCCGTTCTGACCTTCTCGGGTGCGGTTTGTGCTCTGACTGGACCTTATGAGATGCTCCGTCCTGGGAATCGGACGCCAGGACCGTCTCCGGCGCAGAGCGGCTGTTTCATCGAAGTCCCTGAGGAGGGGGTGGGGGGAATCTCTCCCAGTCTCGCTCTGAAGTGGAGCAGGAGAGAAATCCTCCCATTCCCAGTGGGAACTTTTCTCCAAGCTGGAGGAAGTGCCAGAAATGTTTGTTTTCCCCCTTGGAAAAGCGTCCCACGGGGAGAGCAATTCCACGGGGACTGGGGAATCGGCAACCCCGCCATTGTGCTCACACACACCCCGAAGACCCAATGGCAGCACATGCAGAAGGGACCTTTGGCCGACCACTTTTCTCCCTTGGCGGGTACCCCAAAAGTTCTGCTTCGGGCCCTGCCACAGGGAGCCCGCCCGGCAGCGCGAAAGCGCCCTAAAGGGACCCTACAACGCAGCTGCTCCGTGCCGGGTTCTTTCACATCCGAAACTGCTGTGGGGCGCCCCTTTGCGGAGCCCGCCTGTCATGCCAGGATATCCTGCAAGGACGGGGCGTTGGGGTTCCCTAGGAACCGGGGTTGAGGGCTGGAGTGGGAGGTGGGACTGCCAAGGGTCTCCAGTAGCCAGAGGAGGGTCTAGGCACCCACAGGAAGCTCTGAGTGGGTGGGGGGCGTAACACGGTGCCCGCCCTGAAGAAGCCAGGGCAAGCGATCCAAGGGTGGCCCCCTCAAAATACAAGGGAAGTTTTAGGGGCTCTGCGAGGCTGCATGAGGAAAATCCCCCTTTGTATAAACAGTTAAAGGACCGAAAGACCCCTTGGAAATCTGAGGAGACAAGCAGCCCCCGTCCTCAGGATATAGGGGACTAGATCTCTCTACATCTGGAAGAAACGGAGGAATCTGAAGTATGGATTCCCTTCTAGGTTGGCAACTACAGGGAATCCTCCATTTACAAGAGTTCATTTAGTGACTGTTCAAAGTTACAACACTGAAAAAAGTGACTTATGACCGATTTTCACACTTACAGCCGTTGCAGCATCCCCGTGGTCATGTGATCAAAATTCGGGCACTTGGCAACTGACTCATATTTATGACTGTTGCAGGGTCCCGGGGTCGTGTGATCCACTTTGGCGACTTTCTGGCAAGCAAAGTCAAGGGGGAAGCCAGATTCACTTAACAACCGTGTTCCTGACTTATCAACTGCAGGGATTCACTTAACAACGGTGGCAAAAAAGATCATAAAATGGGGAAAACCTCACTTAACAACTCTGGTTTAGAAATTTTGGACTCAATTGTGGTCCTAAGTCAAGGATTACCTGTACGAGATGCAGGAGACAGACCGACGATTTTCAGTTCTCCCAGAAGGAAAAGTAGAGCCAAAGAGCTCTCTTACACTACAAAAAGGAAATAGTGGAATTAAATTAGGGGGCCCTCATTTTCCAGGGATCCCTCCAGGTTCTTCTGAATTCCAGAAGGGATCTTGACACTTTCAGGACCCTTCAGCTTCCTTTCTTTTCAGGCTGCTCTGTGCAGGGATTTTGCCCCAAGGACAATCTCGCTCTACCATCCCCCCCCTATGAATCCAGTAGGGGATCTCACACCCCTCCCCCTTCCCAGGGATTAAGAAATGACAGAGAGGATCCAGTCCAAGGAGGAAGAGCAGACCTTCCTCCAGCCCCAAGTGTGGCCCTGGTTTTAATCTGGTGGCCTCCTTAGGGACTCTCCACTACCTCCCCATCATGGACGAGAACCCCAGGTTTTAGGAGGGACTGCTAAGGGTCTGGTCTAGAAACCAGAATTTCCGATCCTACCTTAAGCTGGGAAGCCAGCTGCGGAGTTTGGAGCATTCATAACACCGCTGGTGGCCTAGCCCACCTCACAGGGCTGTTGCGATGGGGAAAGCAGAAGAGGGAGCATTATCTCCCTATAGGAGCCAGAGTGGCGCCGTGGTTAGAATGCAGCATTGCAGGCTAATTCTGCCAACTGCCAGCAGCTCGATCCTAACCGGCTCAAGGTTGACTCGGCCTTCCATTCTTTTGAGGTCGGTAAAGTGAGGACCCAGATTATTGGGGGCAATAGGCTGACTTGTAAACCGCTCAGAGGGGGCTGTAAAGCACTGTGAAGTGGTATATAAGAATTCTGGGAACTGAAATCCACAAGTTGCAAAAGGGCCACATTTGCCCACCCCTGTCCTAGTGGAAAGTAGAAAAACGAACAGGCCCAGATAACAACCAAGCACATGTGCCTTTTCCTCTTCACCTCCGCTCAAGAGCTGGCATTTTCTTTCTTTCCCTTTTGCAAGACCTAGTAAGAGGTTTCACTCCATTTCGCATCCTTCAGGTTGTTCTGAGTTTGGATCCTTCTGAACTCTATTTCTATTTCTATTTCTATTTATTTGATTTGTATACCGCCCTACTCCTGAAGGACTCAGGGCGGTGAACAGCCAAACAATAAAATACATAGATACAAAAAATTTAAAAAACCAGATAAAATCAAATTAAATAGTTTTGGCCCTGACAAATTAAAACACCCCAATAATTTAAAACAGATTAAAATTTACATATTAAAAAAGAGGGAAAGGATTTGGCCAAGCCCGCCTGGTGGAATAAAAAGGTCTTCACAGCGTGGCGGAAGGTGCACAGGTCCGGGATCCTTCGTATCTCCGGGGGGAGCTCATTCCAGACAGTAGGTGCCCCCACAGAGAAGGCCCTCCCCCTAGGGGCCGCCAGTCGAACTCCTCCCTACCATTGTCACCCAGCCGTGTAACAGGTAGTCCTCAACTCACAACTCTTCGTTTAGCAACCATCCAAAGTTAGCGACTGAAAAAAGTGACTTATGACAGGCTCTCGCACTTGGGACCATCGCAGTAGCCCAGTCACAGGATCAAAATTTGGGCAACCGGCCAAGCATTTCCAAGGGTTGCAGCAATTGGGGGCCATGTGATTGCTGTTTTCAACCCTCCCAGCTTCTGAGAAGCAAAGACAATGGGGGAAGATGGATTCATTTAACGACTGTGTGATTCATTTAAGAACTGCAGTGATTTGCTTAAGAACTATGACAACAAAGGTCATAAAATCAGACATGACTTGTTTAACAACCGGCATGCTTAGCAACAGAAATGCTGTTCCCAACTGTGGTTGTAAGTCAAGGACTACCTGTATTCCGGGATGACTGTTTTCCTCTCTGTCCCGTATCTTCTTTTCCTGAAGTCACCCAACTTCAGCTGAGCCATGGATCACTTCACTCATGGGAACTCTCAGCAATAGTTCCTTTAACATCAACCTTTCCAGTCATTTTGAGCTCTTTTTCCTGCTAGAACAGCGGTCCTCAACCTTTGCGACTTGGCAGCCTGGTTGGGGAGGTGTGTGGAGAGGAGAACCGGGCTGTGGCAGGCCGGCACGAGTTTGCACGTGCAGTTCAATTCACATGAGCAGCGGGCCTGCGCACACGCATGTCAACTCTGAAGCTGGCCTGACCGGGGCCATCTTTTGAGGCTTCAGGGTTTCCACACTGGAGATGAGGGTTAGGGAGGGGGAAATAGAGAGAGCTGGGGTTTTGTAGCCAAAACAAAGTACTTTTCCCTGGGAACCAAGGACATTCCAACAGGTGGCTGAAGAAAGGAGTGGTGTTACTGAGCAACTGATTGGACCATGTGACTGGTTGTTTGGGAAAAGGGGAAAAGTTTTACCGTGGGAACCTTCAGAGTCAGTTTTCATCAGAACCGTGACAATGTGATATATCCAATAAAACTGTTCTTTGAGGAATCTACCTGCCTTGGAGTTCTGTTTGCTAAGGGTGTATTACTTGGAACCCTGACAACGGACACGCACATACAGCTTGACTACAAGTTGAGCTGCTACAAGTTGATGCATGTGTGTGCCAGCCTTCCGCTCTTGCGAGTTGAGCTACGCACGTGTGTGCACACTGGCCCGCCTCTCGCACGGCTTGGTTTCAAATAGGCCAAGGCCCAGTAGTGGGCTGTGGCCTGGGCGTTGGGGACCCCCGTGCTAGAAATAGATGCAAAGTAATTTGAGTGTGCAAAAGAATCCTTTCCCACACTCCAAGGGAATCACACCCATTTCCATCTTTTTATTGGAAGTCACTTTGCTACAATAACACAAGTCTCTCTGCATATTCCACACGTGGCTTTCCCTCTCTGGATAATTTTATATATATTAGGGAAACTACTATTGCTAAAACGTTTCTCGCATTCCCACATTTCTGGGCATTGCCCTTCTTCAGGTTGAGATTTTTCATTCACACCTAGATAGAATCTTTTCTATAAAATAGAATTATTATCCCAAATCTTTCCGTGTCTTATAGCTTCTTCACTCAGTGGACCAATTTATGCATCTTTGGAAGTGTGGCGACCACCGAGGCGCTCTTCACTTCGGTGTGTCTTATGCGGCTCCCAAGGTGTGGGTCCGTTTATGGGAAGTGAGGTGCCCGCTCTGGCAGAAGCTCCTCCCACAGACCAGGCATTTGTAGGGCTTCTCCCCGGTGTGGATCCTCTTGTGGGAGGTGAGGGTGCTGCTCATACTGAAGCTCTTCCCGCAGACCAGGCATTTGTAGGGCTTCTCCCCGGTGTGGATCCGCTGGTGTCGCGTGAGGTCGCTGCTCTTGCTGAAGTTCTTCCCGCAGTGCAGGCACTTGTAGGGCTTCTCCCCTGTGTGGAGAGTCACGTGAGAAGACAGCTGAGAGCTCCATCGGAAGGTCTTTCCACACTCCTGGCAGTGATAGGGCTTCTCCCCTGTGTGGATCCGCTTATGCGCAGTGAGGTGGCCGCTCTGGCTGAAGCTCCTCTCGCACTCAGGGCACTTGTAGGGTCTCTCCCCCGTGTGGATCCTCTTGTGCGAGGTCAGAGTGCTGGCATCGCTGAAGTTCTTCCCACACTCGGGGCATTTGTACGGCTTTTCTTGGGTGTGGATGATCTGGTGACGGGTAAGGGTGGCGCTGACCCGGAAGCTCTTCCCGCATTCCCTGCACTTGTAGGGCTTCTCCCCGGTGTGGATCCTCCTGTGGGAAAGCAGGTAACTGCTGATGCTGAAGCTCTTCCCGCACTCCAGGCATTTGTAGCATTTTTCTCCCGGGGGAACCCTCGGGGGCAGGGAAAGTGGGAAGATCTGGCTGAAATTAGTTCCGGGCTCTCTGCAGTCCTCAGGGTGAGTTTTGCTGTCCTGACTAAAACCAGATTTGTCCGTCCGTATCTCCCTGTATCCCAGACATTTTTTCTTTTGATCTTCTTGGCTCAGGAAGCCACCGAGTTCCGGAGGGGAAGAAGGGGATGATTCCTCCCCTCGATCATTTGACTTGTTTTTTTCAAATCTTTCTGGTTTCCGTTGATTGTGAAGTTTTTCTTCTTTTATGGGATGCATACTTTTTCCTAATGGCGTCGTCCCCAGATCCTGCCAAGCCAGATTCTCTTTCCCTTCACCCGCTGAAACAAAAAGTCAGAAAGTAGACACTGACCCAGACATCAGCCAAAATCCATGCCCCCCCCACCCCCCAATGACTGGACCCTCTTTCTTCTTTACCTACCAGGGAAACTCAAGCACCCAAAAATAGTGGTCACTTGACTGCAGGGACCCCCCCCCCAGCAGTTGGAACTTCAGAACCGCCTCATAAGTATCACGGTTACAACAGTCCGTTTCGTGACTGCACTGAAAACTGTAACTTATGATAAATAAGTAAATAGAACTTTGAAAAATGCTTGGTTCAGGGTTTTTACTTGGAGTAGGGTTTTTTTTCTGGAACGCTTACACCTTTTTCACAATTACAACTTTCATAGCATCCCTATGGTCACGTGATCGAAATTCAGATGCATAGCAGCTGGTTCATACTTACGACCGTTGCTGTGTCCCGAGGTCATGTGCATTTTGCGACCTTTTGAGAAGCAAAGTCATGGGGGAAGTCAGATTCACTTAACAACCAGATTACTAATTTATCAACTGCAGGGATTCACTGAACAACGGAGGCAAGAAAGGTCGTAAAGTGGGGCAAAACTCACATGAACCAGAAGATAGCAGCAGCAACAGAAGCGACAATCCAGGATGTTGTTCCTGGATTGTGGAAAACCCGCATCCCAGGGTGGCCCTTACCTAGAGAGGCCAGGGTCCTCGAATTCTCCAGCATGACTTCCTGGTGGAGGGCCCTTTGGCTCGAATCCAGCAAAGCCCACTCCTCCTCTGTGAAGCCCACGGCCACTTCCTTGAGGGAAACAGGTGCCTGCCAAGGAAGGAAGGTCTTCTCTAGTCACATACAAGAAAAGCACGCAAGTTATCTATCAATCAATCAATCAATCAGAATAAAGCTGGAAGGGACCTTGGAGGCCTTCTAGTCCAACCCCCTGCTCAAGCAGGAGAACCTATACCATTTCAGACAAATGGCTGTCCAATCTCTTCTTGAAATCCTCCAGTGATGGAGCAACCACAGCTTCTGGAGGCAAGGAGTTCCGCTGGTTGATTACTACGTGAGGAAATTTCTCCTTCCTTCTAGGTTTCTTCTCTCCTTAGTTATTTTCCATCCATTGTTCCTTGTCCTGCCTTCAGGTGCTTTGGAGAATAGATTGACTCCCTCTTCTTGGCTACTAGCTATTCCTGCTAGCTTGGTGTCATCTGCAAATTTGATGAGTTCTCCATCTATTCCCTTCTCTTTGGGAAGTCATTGATGAAGGTATTGAGTTCTGGGCCCAAGACATCAAAGGTGGGATGTTGACGATATGCAAACAAGTCCTGCTTTTCTTCAGATTCAAGGAAAGCTGCTTGTCTTATGGACAAAGGCCTGAGGGGTACCTGACTAGGTGGCTCAGTGGCTAAGACACTGAGCTTGTCGATCAGAAAGGTCGGCAGTTCGGCGGTTCAAATCCTTACTACAGGTCTCCTGCGTGAGCAGGGGGTTGGACTAGATGACCTCCAAGGTCCCTTCCAACTCTGTTACTGTTCATTGAAGGTTATTTCTGGGGCTGGTCTTCCGCTAAAAGACCTTCCAGGTGGCTGTAACTGACTCAAATAAACCAGTCAGTCATAGTCCCAAAGTTGCTGTCAGTGCTTCGACGCTGGCATAGAGAGCAGAGGAGAGAGAGAGATAAGCTCTGAACTTTTGCCTGCTAAATCCCTTTGAAGTTGGGTTGTCGTGGAAATGAAGGGGGGGAGACATTCCTGGGAAATCACGAGACAAGAAGTCTGAAGAATGACTTGGAAGATAGCCAATGAGAAGCAGAGATTTGGGGATCGGAAAGGGAGGGATTGGGGGGCAAAAGGGCAGTCTTGTCCGCATCGAGTCATGATCCGGTGGCTGTGCTCAATTAAAGAAAAGATTTCCTTAAAGATTGGCAGTTTGGAAATTCATTTATTTTGAAATAGCATCGAAGTCTGACAGGTGCTTTTTCAAGAGGCAACTGGGCTTTCTGTTTTTTCTTTGAAGACGTTTCGCTTCTCATCCCAGAAGTTCTGACCAAAAGGTGGAGGATGGAAGGATTTATACTCCTTGCAGACAGCTGGTCATTTGCATCCTTTTAGAGAGTTGTTGAGGCCACCTGGAAGTTTACCTGTGTCCTCAGGGTCACCTGAGTGGTTCAAATGGGCGTGGAGCCTTCTTGGGACTGCTGGAAGGACTGTGTTGTAGACAGGAGATAATGATGTCATATCCCTCCCCCTCTGTTGAGAGCGGGCTGTTCAATTTTGACATCATGGCTTCTTTGACCCCTCTTTCAAACCAGCGGTCCTCTCTATCCAAAATATGGACTTTGCTGTCTTCAAAAGAGCGGCCTTTGTCTTTTAAATGTAGATGGAAGTGCTGAATCTAGTCCTGATGGGCTTCTTCTCCTATGTTGTGCCATTCGGTTTTGAAGTGGCTGTTTTGTTTTCCCAATGTTCAGATCTGCACATGACCTTCCTAAAGTGAAGGTTATTCCAGAGGAGCTGCAGGGGGACAGACTCCAGGACCAGAATTCAGCCTCCAGCACAGGGTAAGATCTTGAAACCACCCCATTTTGCAGGATTATTTTATTGTGGGGGCAGGGAGGGGGGGATCTTTCTCCTACCTGAGTTTGAAGCTCAGCCATCATTTCTGCTCCACCGTAAAGCAGAGACGTTTGCAGGGGGACCCTCAAGGCCATCCAGTCACCTGTACCTGCAACAAAGACAACCAAAAAGTAGCCTTTTTTTTGAAAGAAAATAGAAAGAAAGAAACAAAGGAAGGAAGGAAGGAAGGAAGGAAGGAAGGAAGGAAGGAAGGAAGGAAAGGAGACACACTTACTAAATTCTGGGAAGCAGCAATGGCCACGCTTGCAGGGGAGGCCAATAACGGAATAACAGAAGGGACCTTGGAGGTCTTCTAGTCCAACCCACTACTCAAGCAGGTGACCTTATCTACCATTCCAGACAATTGGCTGCCCAGTCTCTTTGTGAAAGCCTCCAGCGATGGAGCACCCACAACCAGGGGTGAAATCCAGCAGGTTCTGGAGAACCGGTAGCGGAAACTTTGAGCAGTTCAGAGAACCGGCAAATACCACCTCTGGCTGGCCCCAGAGTGGAATGGAGATTTTGCAATATCCTTCCTTCAGGAGTGGGGAGGGAATGGGGATTTTGCAGTATCCTTCCCCTGGAGTGGGGTGGGAATGGAAATTTTGCAGTATTCTTTCCCTGTCACGCCCACCAAGCCACGCCCACAGAATCGGTAGTAAAAAAAATGTGGATTTCAGCACTGCCCACAACCAACATTAAGGAGAGTTTCAGAAAGCCGAAATTGAGAACAGGGGCGTCCCTTTCCTTACTTGGCCAGACCTCTGGAGTTTCGGGGGTCCTCCCTGGGAACGGCTTCGGAGACGGAGCGGAGGGGCCCTCCACGATCCTCCGCGTGGCTTCCAAAGGCCCCTCCACCTGAAAGAGGGGCAAGGGTTAAGGCAAGGCGGGTTGGGGGGGACCACCTGCAGCTGGAGAGAGGAAGGAGACCCCTCCCATTTTTGCACCTGGAAAGCGACGCCGCGGATTGTCGCACCGCTAAACTAGCATAATCCGACCCCGACCGGATTAAGGCTTTCCTGTCCCGACCCAACACTGATCGCGATCCAGTGGGATTGGGAGGTTGCAATGGGAAAGGGGGAGGGGTGGGAAGCCGCTTCTTCGACCGAGATGGGGGGGGCGCCTTTAGAGGGGACCCCCCTCCCCAATTCCCCATCGCTCACCTGCGGCTCTTCCTGCGCCTCCGCCGGGCTCCGCTCTCCGCTCTCGGCTGTGGGGGGCTTCCCAAGGAAGGGGGGCTCGTGAGACAGAGGAGGGGGCTTCCTCCCACGCGGATCCCCCCACCCACCCGGAGCCCCCCCTCCCTCCCTCCCTCCCTCCCTCCGGGGCCCCGAGGGCTCACCTGTCCCCTCCGGCGCTCCTGGGCGCGGCTGAGCAGGAATCCCTCGGCCAGGGCGACGGCTTGGGCGCTGCTCTCGGCCCGGCACTCGCGCACCCAGCGGGCCACCCGGGCGGGCAGCCGGGCCAGCAGCTGCTCCAGCAGCACCAGGTCCAGCATCTGCGCCTTGCTCCGCCTCTCCGGCTCCAGCCAAGCCCGGCACAGGCGGTGGAGGCGGCTGCACAGCTCCCGGGGGCCCCGCGCCTCCTCGCCCGACCAGCCGCGGAACCGCCGCCGCCGCCCCTCCGCAGCCTCGCCCGCCGCCCGCATCCTCGCCGCCCGCCGCCGCTGCTGCAGCCGCGCAAGGGTTAAAGGCAGCGAGCGGCGCCGCCTAGAGCGGAGAGAAAGGGTCTCGCGCAGGCGCCCTTCGGGGCCGAAGCCAAAGCGCCGCCAGGACTGAGCGCGGGCTTCCAGGAAGGGGGGAAAGGCGAGAGTGGGAGGAGCCCCAACTGTGGTGGGGAGGAGCCTGTGGGAAGCGGGGGGGGGGGGGCGTGCTGCAAGTTTATGGGATTCCCTTTATGAGGTGGAGGGGAGGGGGGAGAGGCTTCTGCTTGTGCCCCTCTGAACCCACCACAAATGTCATTTATTTATTTATTTATTTATTTATTTATTTATTTATTTATTTATTTATTTATTTATTTATTTATTTATTTATTATATTTCTATACCGCCTTTCTCCCGTAGGACTCAAGGCGGTGTACAGTCAAGAAAAATATAGACACACAAACATCATAAAATTGCTAATTAAAATTATTACTTAGTTTGGTCAATTAAATAAAACCCAGAATTAGATAACATTTAAAAAAATCATTCACACTTTTGTATGTTTAGCCCCGCCTGTTGGAACATCAGGGTCTTGAGGGCACGGCGGAAAGCACGGAGATCAGGGATATTCCGTATCTCCGGGGGCAGTTCATTCCAAAGGGTTGGAGCCCCCACAGAGAAGGCCCTCCCCCTGGGAGTCGCCAGTCGACATAATTTGACTGACGGTACCCTGAGTAGTCCCTCCCTATGAGAACGAACTGGTCGGTGGGAGGCTATTGGTGGCAAAAGACGGTCTCGTAGGTACCCATTTGAGGCTTTGAAAGAAATAAAGGGGGCGAAAAACACCCCCTCCCACCAATCTTGGCTGGGGCAGTTACTGGGTATAAAGCACAAAGCCGAACCTCCCTCCTTCCTAGCACTGATGGTGTTACCTAGTTGGGTCATGGAAGGTCTGCCAAGAAAAGAACAAAGCTCGGAAGGGCATCCAACCCAATCTACAGACACTCTCTTCTGTCGGAATCCATTGCCTTGTGAATGCCTGACCCAGGACTACAGATCCCATCTTCCTCAGCCCCAGGACTACAGATCCCATCTTCCTCAGCTGACCCTGAGACAAGGTCTCCTCTATCCCCCCACTCAGTCTGGGACAATCAGATTCTCTGTAGTCCTGCAAAGCGGGGCTCACCCGGCGCCCCGAGTAAAGGCCGAGCTCTCCCGCCTGGCCCTGCCAAGGAAGGGGGGGTGGCAGCCGAGGCCACACCGGGTCTCTCCGGCTGAGGTTCATTGGGTGACCCACCCACCCCCAGTGAGCCTGGGTTACTTGCCTCTCATTGAGGATTTTGTTGGGGTGGTTAAAGGTTGCCCCAACATTAGTTTGCAATTTTGGGGTTGGAAAGCGGAGTTTGTAGCACCCGCTGCAGCTGCTGGAAAGCCTCCTGCTCCCCTCACAAACCCCCAGCCCCCTCCGTAGTTACCTCCTTCGGAGCCTTCCTGACCATGACGGGAGCCCCATCGGAGAAAAGGGGGGGGGAAGCACTGCCTTTGTAGCACCCGCTGCAGTGCTGATTTATTTATCAAATGCTTAAAACTCTCTCTCTTTCTCTGTCTCTCACACATTTTTTTTTTTTTTAATTTGATTTATATGCCGCCCTTCTCCGGAGACTCAGGGCGGCTTACAGTGCGTTAAGCAATAGCCTTCATACTTTTGTATATTTATACAAAGTCAGCTTATTGCCCCCACAAACTGGGTCCTCAATTTACCTACCTTAGAAAGGATGGAAGGCTGAGTCAACCTTGAGCCTTGGAGAGATTCGAACCAGCAGTAAATTGCAGGCAGCTGTGTTAATAACAGGGTGCTTTAAACCACTGTACTACCAAGGCTCTTGGTACATCACTCTATAACTGCCATATACAGGTTGTCCTTGACTTATGACCACCGTTGAGCCCAAAATTTCTGTTGGTAAGTGCGACATTTGTTAAGTGGGTATTGCCCTGTTTTACGATCCATTTAACTGAAAAAGATGTTGAGGCTTTGGAAAAAGGGCACAGAAGAGCAACTGAGACGATTAAAGGCCTGAAAACAGAATAGAACAGAACAGAACAGAACAGAACAGTGGAGTGAAGTGGAGTGGAGTGGAGTGGAGTGGAGTGGAGTGGAGTAGAGTAGAGTAGAGTAGAGTAGAGTAGAGTAGAGTAGAGTAGAGTAGAGTAGAGTAGAGTAGAGTAGAGTAGAGTAGAGTAGAGTAGAGTAGAGTAGAGTAGAGTAGAGTAGACTAGACTAGACTAGACTAGACTAGACTAGACTAGACTAGACTAGAATAGAATAGAATAGAATAGAATAGAATAGAATAGAATAGAACAGAATAGGAGCTGGAAGGGACCTTGGAGGTCTTCTAGTCCAGCCCCCTGCTCAGGCAGGAAAGCCTATACCCTTTCAGACAGGTGGCTGTCCAGTTTCTTGGTAAAAGCCTCCAGTGATGGAGCACCCACCAATTCTCGTGGCAAACTGTTCCGCTGGTCAACAGTCCTCCCTGTTGGGAAGTTTCTCTTTTAATTCCAGGCTGCTTCTCTCCTGGATTAGTTTCTGTTCCTTGTTCCTTGCCCTGCCTTCAGGTGCTTTTTACAATAAGGGGGGGGGAGCCCTTTTTCTTTGGGGCAGCCCCTGAAATGCTGGAAATCCTGCCGTCCTGTGGTCCCCCCCCCATTTCCCCAGCCCTCCTTTCCCCCAAATCCCGCTCCTCCGCTTGGGTTCTCTGGGCGGTTTAAGCGGGAGGGCGGAGAGCAGCCTCGGCCGTCGGAAAGAGCGAACTTCTCTCAGCGCTTCCCTCGGCCGCCCCTCCGGCGGGGACCCTGGCGCTCCCGCCGGCTGGATGACCGCAGGGCGGACCCCGCAGGAGGAGCCGAGCCGGGCCGGGCCCGGCGGCAGAGGAGGGGGCGCGGGGTCTCTCGGCCGCGCGGGGCAGGCGGGGAGGGTCGCCAAGAGCTCCGGCTTCCGCCCGAGACCCTCCACCCGGCCCCGTCCGGCTCCTCCGCCGCCCGGACTGTCGCTGCCGGAGCCGGATCCCGCAGGACCCCCGACCCACTCGCGGCCCCCGGTCCGCCCCCCGCGGACCCACCCACGCACCCCCACCGGCCTCCCAGCCGAGCGGAGTGCCGGGGCGACTGCGAGGTCCCCGAGAGGGGCGCGGCAGGGAGAAGCGGGACCGTCCCGGAGCAGCTCAGCCGCCCCCTTCGCTTCTCCGGCCCCTCGGAGGGGAAGCTTTCCCCCACCCCCACCCCCGGCCAAGGGCCCGCCAGCGCTCGGCTTTGGGGCCCCGCTGGGCTCCCCCATAAAGTGACCCAACAAGGAAGGCAAGACCCCCGGGGGTGGTCTCCAATCCCCCTCCCCAAGACCCCGCTTCCCAGGTTGGACCTGATCGGGGGTCTTTGTGGGAAGAAGGGTCTGTGGGGCCAAGCGGCTGGCTGGGCAGGCGGAGGAAGGGCCCCTTGCACGGCTCTGGAATGGGGGCCCAGCGCCCCAGTGAGGAAGGGGCAGACAGGGCCCCCCAGGATGGGGGATGCTGGGAAAAGGGCCTCCGGAAAAAGAGTCCAGGAGACAAGATGAGCCCCCCGCCCATCGTGGATCATGGCTTACGGGACTTTGGATATCAAAGGGCCCCGGGGCCCCAGGAGCTGTGTAGCCGCCTGCACGTCCGGTTCCACAGGTGGCTGCAGCCGGAGGGACGCAGCAAGGCGCAGAGGCCAGACCTGGAGCAGGTGAGACGGTGCCTGGTTTGTATCCTGGTTTGGGTGAAGAAATGGCAGCCTGTGATTAGGCCTAAAGTGCAGTTAAAGAGGGGCAAAGGCTGCCCCCAGGTGAGATGGGAGGCCAACCGTGACCTTTGACTTCCCCCCAAGTTTCTTTCCTTGAACTGCTTGTCTAAAGCTTCCTTCCTTCCTTCCTTCCTTCCTTCCTTCCTTCCTTCCTCCTCCCTCCTTTTTCTTCTTTTTTTATTCCTTTCCTTTTTTTCCTTTTTTCTTTCTCTCTTTCTTTCTTCATTCAGGGCTCTGAGCCATTCCTGGAGGCTGCCACCAATTCCTCCCCCTTAGAGAAGGACCCCTCCCATCCCTGCCGGAGGCCTCTCTCAATGGGCATCGAACAGGAAGATCCTTTCCTGGACCCCCCACTAGGTAAGCAAGGGTTTCTGAGCATGAATTGCTCAGAGAAGAGCCTGTAGTACAGTGGACTAAAGCACTGTTATTAAGACCAGCTGCCTGCAATTTACTGCTGGTTCGAATCTCTCCAAGGCTCAAGGTTGACTCAGCCTTCCATCCTTCCTAAGGTAGGTGAAATGAGGACCCGGATTGTGGGGGCAATAAGCTGACTTTGTATAAATATACAAAAGTATGAAGGCTATTGCTTAGCACATTGTAAGCCGCCCCGAGTCTCCGGAGAAGGGCGGCATATAAATTAAAGCAAAAATAAATAAATAAATGGAATGAGCTGTGGGACGCCCCCTTTCCTCCTCCCCCTCAAGGTGTTTCTCTGGGGCTCTGCCTCCCTTGAGGGGCTCATCTCCCCCCACCTCTCTCAAGGCCTTCCCCGTCTCCCCCTTGCAGGGAAGGCAGCCACATCCCTGGAACCGCCTGGGACATTTCCCCATCCAGGAGAGACGGAAACAGCAGCTGCCCCTTCAGCTCAGGTTGGGAGCAAAGGGCACATGGAGCCTCCTGGCATGTTTTGGGGGCCCCGGAGTATCCCCTCTTCCTTCTCTGTGAGGCTTCCAGAAAGAAATGTCCCTCTTGGGTGACTTTGAGGCAGACTCGGGTTTCAGCTTCTCGCTGCTTTTTCCTGGCCTGCTTTTTCAGACTCCCCAAATATGAGTTTATTGATTGATTTAAGAAGATGCACAGGGCTTCCCAGCTCACTCTCAGTGGCTCCTGGCGGCCTTGATTAATTGGACGT